AGCATGTGTACTTGGGCTGGGATGGAACAAATTGAGGCGGACAATGGGTAAAGGATGCTGTGAGGAGGATCGGTGACCGCTGAACAGGGTACCGGGGAGGATTGAGGGGTTGCAATGACCATGAAGACGATGAAGTGCATTCAAGTACAACAAATATTTCCGTGCTTAAGAAATACAGACAGTGAGTGAACAGTTGGCCCAATTTTTTCTCTTGGACAGTAGTCAATGACCAAGATTTAAAAATCTTCTAGGAAATTGGGAGATTTTTCTTTGAGGTTACAGAGAATTTCTCTGGGAGATGGTATTCTCTTGGGGGGGGGGGGGGACTGAGGGAAAAATCCACCATCCAACCCTCCCCCTCCCCCTCCCCCTTCCTGAATCATGCCTGAAATATCAAAAATTCAGTATCAGTTATCTTTGTCTGAACTTCTCATAAAGTCTTTACTTCAAAATATTCATTTACTGAAAAGTAGCATAGGTCTGTATTTTTCACAGGAGCAATCAAACAGCTAAACTCAAGTAACAACTAAATTTTGTGAGTTGACTAAGAAAGTAATTGAAAGGGAATGTACAACATTTGCTTTTGCTGCAATTTTCAGAAATAAATGGATTTGGAGGATTAGTATGTTTATAGCAAATATTGTTAAACTGACTTGTTCACGTTTTGGGCTTGTGAAAAACCAAGAAAACCAATCATGTTTTTGTAGTCTGGTTCCCTGACCCCACTTAAGGTTAAACGGAGAAATGTAAAGGCTTTGGGGAATTGTAAGGTCAAAGAATCACTCTTGCAGGCTTGTTCCCCCTCACAGGTGTGTAATCAATTGCAAAGAAAATGCGGAATAACTAAATATGAAAAATTAGGAGCAGTTTTGGAAAAAAGCCAGTTTTTTTCCAACGCTAGTCGGCCGACCAGCGTTGGAAAAATACAATTTTTCTTGAAAATGTCAGCACACCAGGAGCCACCATTTCACAGGATGCTTTAGACTGTCAATCCCTAACAATTCAGTAAGGTATTTCGTGATAATTTGATCATTTCGTTTTTTTGATGTTTGCAAATGTTGTATCTTCCCTTTAAATATGGCATTAAACAATAGTAGTTTAAACATGCCAAACATCAATCATTACAAAATTCCAAGTCTAGATATTAACCCTAGGTAGATATATAACACAAGCCAAATATCATACTGGTACATCCTCATCAATATTTTACAACTCAAAACTATTTTCTGCGTAACATGAACAGCAGGTATCTAATGTTGGGTATTTAACAACCAGCATGATATAGGATAGAGGTTTCTCAAACATCCAAGTTTTTCTTACGCACTTGGCACAATTGGAGCTGCAATTTTTTGAAGTCACATATCAGTGATGTCACATTCAATTGCATATCTGGCGTTGATGCTTTCCATGTACATGTACATGTATCGATCATTGAGGTACATGTACATGCATTGGTATGTACTTGTACTTGTACTAGAGATAGAAGTTGCATTTAGATGTAATATCTTCCTAACTTATCAAAACGTAACTAGTACCATAGAATTTTTTTATGATTAGGTTTCATATTTTAAGTTTGAGTATTATGATATAAACTGAGAGCATACCAAGTCCCGTTCATATGTAAAATGAAATGCAGATCAGGTTAGTGAGTGGAGTCGTCATTCAACCTCCTATGTAGCCTTTAGTCTAGGTGCGAAAAAGTCAAGGCAGGAAAAAAGACCAGTCGAGTGGTGAAGCCATGAGCGCCTTTACCATCTCGTGGAGCTATTCATTTTTTCAAGTAAATTGAATCATGCACGTATGTGGATATATGAACCAATCACCACGAACAAGCCATTTTTAAGGTGATGACACGCGCGCGTGCCCTCAAGCGAGCACGCCACACGCGTTCTAAAAAAAAAAAATGCGCATGCATTCACAACATGTCATGCATTATGCATGAAAATTTGTCTACCAAATCGGTAGACAAATGTAAAGAAAAACATAAGCGCTCTCCACGAGTTGGTAAAGTCCTTGCGGCTTTGCCACGGTGCTAGTCGTTTTACGTGCCAGCATCTGGGGTGCGTAACGTGTATGGATAAGCGCGTGGGACTTGACTAAAGGCTACCTCCCATGCGACTCTAGTTCCTGCCTGGCACACCAGGATGGACTTGGTTTTTACAGGTACTACAGGTACTTGATGATGTGGGCTTTCCCCAAAGATTCAACCCTCCTCCCACATTCAAAATTCAACCTTTTCTTTTGCGGTCTTTTTGTCAAAGAAGAAACATGATGTACATCACGCATGCTTTAAGGATCCAGGAGTGAGCTTTGTCAGGATTTTTTGTGATTTCAGGATTTTGTTGTCATGTTTTTTCCTAATTTCAGGCTTTTAAAAAAAGTCCCTTTTGAAATTTGGAATTAATGTTTTACCTTGAAGGTGTTTTTACCTAACAAAGTTGATGTAGAACAAAAGGAAAATTTAGCGGTACATGCAATGTATACCAACTAATAACATAGACCCTTTGTTGGTCTGCCAATTATGTCATGGATTTTTCATTTTCTTCCAATCTTATCCCTGGGTCCTTAAACTGTTGACAGTGGCTTTGAATGAATTCATAAATTTTTATTTACATGTATAGTTTTATACACGTGTAATTTAATGTTGATTTTGTTGTTATTAGTTGCCCCTCTTTTGTATGCACATCATGCGTACAGTCTGAGTAAATACGATGCTGACTGGATATTTCCTGTTGTATCGGGAGATATTTTGATGTTAGAATGGAATGCTTCCATCATGTACATCTGTTCCAGTCGGTGTGTTATTGGCCGGTTGGTTGCCAATAAACTCCAGCCGTGCTTCCGACAAAATCGTGTGCTAGAAATAGCGATGTCCGCTGAGTCTTTATGCTATGCACGTGCCTCGGCATTTAGTCAAAACATATCTGGATGAGAACCAGAGTTTAAAGTTGTTGTCCCCATGCTATTTTTTAGCTTCGACCCAAAAATAGATTTTGTTTTTATATTGCCATTTTTCTAGCAGTGCAAAAGTTAGTTACTTTTAAAAATTATTTATTTAAAAATTTGCTAAAGTTACTTATAGAAAGTAATACTTTCTCCTATTACTTAGATTCGTAATTCCGAATTCACACTTTATTAAAGATTCGTCGTTCCAAATCCACACCTTGTGACCAGTGTAAGAGATTCGTAGTATCCGAATACACACTTTTAACAATAGTGTGACGTCATAGCAGTGGTTTAAATACAGCAGGATTCATGACTAGCGCCCAACAGCTCGATTTTTGAGAGTCAAAATTCTGACCCCCGAAATTCATTTAAATTTTTGAAGGATGGTTGTGTGAACGTTTACATTCTACTTTTTAATGCTCTTTCCAATGAACATCATTATGTTTAAAATGCATTTTGTAGCTTAATTGGGTGCATTCCAGGACGTAATGTCCCTCTAAATTGTGAAGAAAAAGCATCAGACAAAAATATTTGTTCAGTTGTGACTCGCTTTTAGATTGTGGAAGCTTGGAAGTGTTTTTGGCGCTCTTTATTGTTGAAAAAGGAAAAGCAAAATTAAGTCTACTCATGACAAATATTGGTGTAGAAATTTTTTTTTCTACTTTTTATATTGTATTAAATTTGAGTGTTGAGCACAAGTATTAATTGAAATTGCTTGCAAGAGTTGTGCTGTGCTCTGTTTATTTAAGAGTTGATTGATAACATTTATTGAGTTGTACTTTGGAATCAGTCTTTGCCTTTTGAGAATCTAGAAATGATAATTTTGATATGAAAGTGTGATTGTGGATGATAAATGTCCATCTTTATATGCCGTGTATTATTAATGATTTCTCTAAAAAACAATTTGAAATGCTAGGATCAATGCATTATGATAACATGCTTGTCAACATAAGGGATTTTATCATAAAAGGAATGTTAAATGTATGATTAATTCTCTTAGCATTGATAGAAGTTTCCCCTTGATGCAAACATTCTCATTTTTTTAAAGTGTGTTATTTGCTTGATGCCAGTAGAGGTCTTTACAATACCAGTTAATTATCTGTTCCTCAGTTTTGAATACTGTTATTCTCTTGAGGACAGACATAGTACATGCACTGTCTGAAACGTTGAGATCTTTCTCCAACCAGTTCTGTCCAGAACCAACACTTCTTCAACAAAGAGATTAATTCATCAGTCCTGTTTTGAGGCGTGCGATCACACCCCCACGCCATCACACGCCTAAATGCTTCCTGAGAAGTGCGAATAATTGCACGCCTGAATCCCTCAGTACCGCACACCTCGGCATACATTTACGGCATAATTATACTTCATAATTTGTGAAAAATAAAGTCAATGAAGAGAAAACGGCTTTATTGTAAACCAAGATGAATATTATGGAAACAAATACCAGATTGTTCAGTACCAGCTTGGACCACAGAATCACACACCTAGAAAAATCACACGCCTAGAAAAATCACATGCCTAGAAAAATCCAGGTGTGCGTTTTTCCACACACCTGTGATTTTCAAATCAGAAGCACTTATTTATGTTACAGGGGTGGGGTTTTTCTGGATTTTTCCAGAGTCCAGGTTTAAAAAAAAAAAAAATCTGATTGAGGAGTTTTCTTTTTGGATAAAAGGTGTTTATGACAGAAATGGAAAGGGCTGTTATTGGAGTGGCATTTAAAGGGAAATAGTTACAGCTCTGCCAAATATATTTGGTGGATTATTTTTATGGAAAGAATGCTGCATCCTGACGTCACTTTTTTTCATCATATATCTCAATGAAGATCAGTCATTGCAAAAATATTGGAAAGACATGAATCTGGGACTGAGAAACATTTCAAATGTTGTTAGGAAATACTTCTGGACTCTCAATTGACTTTGTACACAACCGATGAAGTGGTGTCTGGATACAACATTCTTGCCCTTTTTATTTTCCCCCAATCCTACCCCTGATGTTTCATGGTGTAACTATTATTTGTAAATTTCTATTTTCTTGATTTCATTAAACAGACACACCCTTCAGATCAACCCTACATATCCTGAAGACACCGGTATCTACACAGCTCAGGCATTTAACCGTTCTTGGGTCAGACTTTCTCATGCCAGATTGACGGTGGAAGAAATCTTCACAGACGATGAGCTAAACGGTGTGCCTGAATCTTTCCTTGAAGACCTAAATGCAGAAAACGGCAGTGAAGATGAAGACTCATCAGGTGATGTAGACGTAGTGAAAGGTCACGAGGTCAAAGTTCAGGGGTCACAGGAGATTGCCAAGATGTTGAAGAAGAGGATCAGGATTAAGCCGGGGGATACCGCCCTGCTGGAGTGTTGCTGTGACACATCAAAGTCAAACGTCAAAGTCAAATGGTAAGGTAGAAAAAAAAAAGTTGATGGCTTTTGGGAGGAAACTAGTTTTGATACTGTTGGTGATAGTAGTCATTAGGGAATAGCTCTCCTGAAGACGGTCAGAGCATACTGACCGGAACGTCGAGTTTATACCTCTGGTTCTTTTTCAGAACCATTCTCTTAGTTGAGAAATTATTCGCACATGGTGTTTCCGCAAACCTTTCATTATTTAGTATCTCCACCATGCAAAGCCTCTAATCTTACTTAAAAATGTTGAAACAAAAAGTTGATGGCTTTTGGATGAAATTAGTTTTGATACTGTTGGTGATAGTAGTCATTAGGGAATAGATACATGTATGAGCTTGGTCGGTTTTAAACAAGTACGTTTAAAACTGACTAGAGGGCTCCGCCTGCACCTGCAACGCTTCGCAACTCGAGTTACGACATGTAACACGTCGCAACTTGCGATGCGTCATATCGTCCATTTCACGAAAGTTGCGATGTGTTGAACGCGTCGTAAGTTCCTTGACAACGGCTTAAAACACGTCGCAAGTTACGACGTGTCTAGTGGTCATCGCAAAATAAGAAGAATCCCTTTCTTAGCCAGTTTAATGCCATAAACATTACAAAACGAGAATATAATACCGAGGCAATGTGTGTAAAGTTGTAAATAGAAAATTCATTGAATAATTATGAATTACACTGGAATATTGCAGTTGAAAGTTCAAAGTAGCTATTCACTCCACTGAGAGCTTGTTTTCCTTCAAAATAGCATCGCACGGCCGCCATTTTGTTTTACGTTTTAACAAATGTCAAGCTGAGATCCGACGACTCATTGTTGAATATCAGACGACTATTTACTGTATGCTGACTAAAGACATAAAACAGTCATCGAGTTGTGCTATGAATACACCTACGACACGTCGCAGGACGCGTCGCAGCTGCGACACATCGTAGAGATGCGACGCGTTGCAGCGCTGCGATGCATCATAAGTTACGATGAGTTTGATGAAATCGGGTGCTGGACGCGGATAATGGCCTGAGCCAAAGGTGAGGGTCATTATCCACGTCCAGGCCCCTAGCCGGTTTTAAATGATTTGGTGCAACCATTTTACTTCATGTTATGTGAAACACCCCTCTCGCCATGTCTATGGTATGTGCCTCGCATGTAGTCCTTAACATCTCCTTATATGGAGATGGGCACGCGCGCATCGTACTGTGAGATGTGGTGCAGAACGCAGAGGTGTTTTATCAGCAGTTTAAAACTACCCATGTGACGGGCTCTTGACCAATAGGAATGGGTTAACTGTCTTAGGTATTTATGAATGATCAGTTTTATCTTCTTAAACTCTGATTGACTCCTATGATTAAAAAAAAATTGAAGATGCACTGACTATGCACTTTAAATGTGTTCTGTTTTAACAAAAAAATGAAAAGTTATCGCTTCATTTTTGGCATATCTGCGACACACCAAAAAAACCTTTTTAGTTTGGGTTGCGTTTGCGCGCATGTATATATATCCACCCTGTGATTAGACTGGTTCCTGGGCCTGGTCCCTATATTATTGACACTAATAGGGGCCAAGAACCAGTCTTCCCTGCGAGAACTGAATTCTTCTTGAGCCACAAATAATTCGAAAATCTGGAAAGTAGTTATGTCTTAGCTAAATGTAAGCAGATATTATTCATTCAATGTCTCATTCAAAATTGAATTACTTAGAAAAAAATAGAAGTTAATTACATGTATATTTCAGGTTCAAACTTAAAATTGGACGGACAGTGCATCTTTAATTATTGAATATGATTATTGGATTGAAAATATGAAGTTTTAGTTTTTTTCCATTTTTTCTCACTTTATTGGTTTTCCAGATTCAGAAGTAGGCCTGCACTATTAACAAAACCGTATGGTGTATTCAATATATTCCAGCCCGGCAGATTTTAAACTGGTCCACTTTCCGATAATCTATCTGTGGATCTTGGAAGTGTTTAACAATTCCACAATCCAGACTGATGCAAGGCCCCATTATTTCACAGCCAGCTTATCCTCTTCAAAACTTTCCTCCCGTTTTCTATTATTAAGTGCCACTTTAACTCACATACAAAACCCATTTCCTGTGCCATTGACATTCCAAGGTGTAGTGTCTGTCTGACTTGGTCAATAGCGTTGATAATGAACTGAATGGGACATTATTGAGCTTATCAGAAATATTTGGTCCGTCTTTGACATGGTGGCAGATGTTCAGATGATCAGGAGTGATGAACGACAAATTGGAGGGGGCAGGAGCAGCCATGAATGATGGTCAGACAGGATTAGTGATGGGCCTGCTGTTTCATGTCAGCCATTTTAATATTGTGGCTGTGCTTGAAGTGTGCACGTAGGCTGGTGCAGAAACCATATGAGTTATCAGACAGAAGCCTGATCATGAGTGCACTCATTGTTTTATGGCATTGTCTAAATTAAAGTGAGTTGATTTGTCTGCAGTCGGAATGCCAAAGCAAAGCCTCCTCCACGATTCCTGAAAAAAGCAGCTTAGTCTTTTGAAGTCTGTCACAAGCCAATGTAGCTCATCAGGCCGGCGTTTATCTCCGGTTTTCTAGGCATGAAATGTCTGAGGATATTTCCATTTCCCCCCCCCCCCCCCCCATGGGATGCGAGTCCATGGCAGGTTACTCCCCAGCTAATGCCACTGGTACCCATTTATATTCCTGGGTGGAGAGAGGCAAGTGGGGGTGAAGTGGCTTGCCCAAGGACACACATTATGGCCAGCAGCTGGATTCAAACCCCTGACCATCTGATCACAAGTCACAAACCATAACCACTAGGCCACACTCTCCCTACCTTAGTCTTGTGATTTTTCTAATTTTATTGTATCATTGAAAACCCTTGATTACAAATGATATACATTGCACAAATAGGCATAACTCAATGCTCTATGTTTAACCTGTTAAAACTACCAGAATCTGCCAGTTTAAAGATATAGTCCATCATTTGTAATTTGTGCATTTTGTTCGTTTGAAGCAACAAACGTCCTCAAAATCTAAAGAAAGATATTGAACAACTAACCTGATGAAGTTTCAGCTCAGCTTCAGCTGTATATTCCGAGAAAAACAGCATTCTAGGATCTTGATTTCAAATCAAAAGTTGCTGAATCATGTTTTGAATTGAGCCTGAATTCAGCGTCCAAGACACGTTCTCAATGAGCCGATTGCTGCTACGCGATGTCGCGCACTGATTTGACGAATTATAGCAATTATGTGCGTCATGCCAACGCCTGCGCGCTTGGCTGCAAAACAAAACGAACTACTAATTTAAATTTCCAACGGTGCGTCTTAAGAAGCACCGTTGGAAAGGCCTTCTTTTGTTGATTTCTTCAAAATGACAGCTTTCCAGAAAGAATAATTTCACAGGGAGTTTAGTTCCCTTACTATCTTTCAACCAAGTATGTTTTTCAACAAGAATTACGCCAGTTACTTTTTGGATAGCTGCAAATGATGGACTCCAGCTTTAAGGCAGCGAGCTCCTTGGTCAAATACATTACAATGAATTAAAGATGTGATAAACGATAGAGTTTGGAGATCATACCGTACACCACTGGCATAGCTCCTCTGTGAAGAAGTTTGGTTCTGAAAAGAACCGGAGGTGAGAAAAGACTGATCCATCATCATGCCTCACCCTCTGTGCAAGTGGGCAACCAATACACGTCCATCTCTCCAATGTCGCTGTTCAAGCAGTGCGCGTCATACACGCACGCGCACACGCATGTCAAACTTTTTTGTCTGACATTTATCGCGGCTCTGATTGGTCAAAGTACCATTGGGTTCGGCTTAATGGATTGTTCATGACATTTCGGACATTGTACTCAGGACATGTCATCCTCGGGAGAATGCTGTATTAAAATCACTCCCTCTCTTAGTGACAACATATAGGGACAGATACCCTATCTGTCAAAATCTATAAGGTGACAGGTTTTACCAGTTCTGTAAATTGACCGCGGTAGAATCGTGTTAGAAACGCGTCAACGCAGCTTGTGAAACATTGTCCAATTACATGATATACAAGTGTACGCAGAATGCGCAAAATCTGAGACAAACAAAACTTAGTGTACAAAAACTCCATAGGGTTGTCTAAGGGGCGTGGCTAACTCACAAACGGCGATAGGTCAATTGGGCTGATATTGGTACAATTGACAGGCTGTGGTAGTTTTGTTAACTGAGGGTACCATGCCTTGACTGACATTGCTATATGGTGGGTCAGCACTGGTGAGTGCCTGTCAATGATGGATTTAGTTCAGTAGCAATGAAAGCACAAAAGGTTCACTCATGCATATCCCGGCAAAACAAAGGCATTGCCCTCTAAGATGGCTGCTGTGCAAGTTGTAGGAGTATGCAAGGTCACTCTATCTATCAAAACAGCTTGGTTTGACAGTTTTTTGGTTTAATCAATGGTTGTTCTGGCAGTTGGTGACCAGCCTGTATATATGCTGTGGTAGGGGCAGTGGATAAATTTTTTGAGCAGTTTGGATGTTTGGAGCTGTAAACAAGAGGTTCTAAATAAAGGTTCAAGTCCCATCCCAGGCTTGTTCTGGTATGTTCCCATTGGCCTACTTCTACTGGACTGGAAGCTAATAAAGCCATTGCGATTGACTAACCATATAGCAGTAAAGTTCAAAATAAACTTGAGATGTTTCTGGTGATGGATTCTCTGAGCCATTTGATGCTTGTAGAAATAGAATAAAATGGACGCAGCAGATGTACCGGTATGACTTGGTGAACATTCCTTATGTTCGTGTAGATGAATGATTTGATGCTGTGTGTGCAGTATGTGTGATGCATGCATAATCTTGTAAACCATGTGTCACGACAGAATGTTCTTGAGTCGCAGATGAGAATGGATGAGAAAGACATCATCATAGTCTCCCAAAACAACATCATCTGTAAAGCATTAATTGGCCATGTTCCAAGGATTGTCTTTAAGGATCGCTTCTTCCATCAAGTTTGTATATTAGTCCATTGACGATGATGTGGCGTGCCATTTGGTATCACATGCGGATGGTGGTTTTTCGTTCTCTCTGCCTCCACCAATTAATCTATCTTAAGTTGAAGTTTGTTTTGGTATGATGATTTGGTTACCTGTGTTCAGAATTGTACCTGAATGATGAGCAGTGTTTGGACAAAAACATTTGTGAACACACGCATGTTTACATTACAAACCTAGTGTGGACATTCCATTGCTTTCGTGTAGTTAAGAAAAACCAGTGAAAAAAACTCATTTTTCTCAAACTGTGAAAAACTCTTTCAACCCAATTTTTTTTCTATGATTCCCTTAAGTGTTTCTCTTCATTCTGCCACGGATACACCTAACCCAAAAATGCCTCTAAACCTATTTTCCAGAAATGGGGAAACACTGTGTGGACTTGCCCAAGTCCACACAACGTCGCTGCTACCTGGTTGATGTGGACCTCTTTTGTCTGGAAGTCCACACAGTGAATGTAATGCCTACCCAGTTGGGAGGAAAGTTCACAGAGACTTGTTATACAATGTAGTTGAATTAAGTTGGATTTTTTTTTTTTTTTTTAAGGCTTCATGTTACAAGTGCATATTCTGAAAATTACTTAAAACGTTAATGCAGTGCTCATTGCTTCATTATATTCTACTCTTTTGTGGCATGCTTACATGTATAACCCTAACGGTCCGAAATCCTCAAATTTTAACATGCTTTTTCACACATGGTTAAAATTGATAACACTAACTCCCTATACCAATGGTAGGGAGTTAGTGTTATCAATTTTAGTATTTTGTTCTGTGTCAATAAATTTAGAATTAGGTCAAGCTAATTACCACATGTTAATAATGCTTGTGCTGACTCTATCGGGCAAGTATGCCTGCATGTAGTTATGACTCGAATGAAATATAAATACCAGCTCTGAATACCGGACATTTACATCATGTATGTATCTAGCACACATGGTGTAATCATTTACATGTAGTCCTGTCGTACATATTCATGTTTGTGTTACATTACGGTGAGCTCGAAACCGCTCCGGCCGACTTAGGTATCTAGGATTGAAGTCCCCAGGTAGGCCCATCCAAGTCAGATCAAATCACTACCCCAGGCTGTGTGACATGTACGCACGTCACCTTGCAGAAACCAGTACCGGTACACACAAATTGGCGAGTATAGGCCAGCAGAACTGCGGGGGATGCATTGAGCTAGGTACGGTTTTGCAACAGCTGAACGGCGTTGGAAAAACTTGCGACTCGTAGAGCGGAGAAGAGTGTGAAATGTGAAGCATGTGCAGTGAGCTGTGCCAAGGACGGAATGCAGCGGAGTAGAGACACAACGTTGATGATGATGATGATGATGATGGTTAGCTGGGATGGGCTTAGTATTTAGTCTGCGTTGGACTAGACGGGCCAACGTAGTAACGCACTCTTTGGTTTCTTTAGGATGTCTTAGTCCAACAAGATGGTGGAGGAATTCTGTCTTGACGAAGGATTAATGCAGTAAATGAGTGACGAGGCTTGGGTAGCTAAGGACATGTGATCTTGGAGGAGCTACACTACCTTTTGCTTTTAAGGAGTGTTAATTTATTTTTACTGGTGGAATAGTGATAGAATTTATGGCAGGCAGGATTTGTTAACGATGCTCGTTGAAGACTAGCCTACTATGTGACACGTGGAATAATATTCAAGTATGTAGGGTAGGTATACCGGTACATGTACACGTATAATGTTTGTAGAAATAATTAAAAGCCAATAGGCATCTTTACCAGCTACTTGTTTTTTTAATTTTTTTAAATTTTTTTATTTTTAGTTTGTATTCAACATATATATAGGCTTTAGGATGTTTTAACTAAAGCTGTTGACATTTCAGGTGTAGATGCTGCTTTTTGGAGGGAAATGAGAAAACTATACATATATTTTTCCTTGCAGGGATACAACTTAATTTTTGGATCTTCAAACAATGATTTCTAAAATTAAAATCTCTGGAAACTGGCTATTTGATATAAAATTCCTAGTTGGTTTAGGGTATAGCACCAAGCTATGAATTAACTTCACATTGTGTTAACCAATCCTGTCTGTACTCCTTTTTGTCAAAGATTTGATAGTTGGGTTTTTCAGATAACATTTTCAATTGATCCAAAATGCATTCAATCAATATTTTTTTCTGAGTCCTCTCATTGTTTGCAAATCTCAATGCTACAATGTTCTTACATCTTGGATGGGTGTTACCAGGTCACACAAGATGAATTCTGCTGGCTTGGACACACTTGGGTTTTTTTACAAGTTGAATGAAAACATTCAAATTATCTGGAGAAGAAATGTGAATAAGCTTTTAAATAAACTACACAAAAACATTGTGATTAAATTTGAACAGATAGCTGCTCACTGAAAGAAACATACATCCAATGAAATCTGGAACTTGACAAGTCCCTTTCAGATTTCGAGTCGGACTGGCTGTTTTCAATCACAACATTATTAAGGGACATTACTTTCAGTTTGTGGGGGCAGATATGGGAATTTGTTTTATTGCCTGCAGGTTTACGTGTTTAACTGCACACACGGTGCGTTAAACTAGACGTTGAATGGCATTATCTTGGAACATTGCCACAGGCTTACGTGCTGAAACATTACATATCCCTCACAAAGTACTTGATTACTTATCTAGTAGAATATAAAAAAAACTTTGGACAAGGTTGAGGACATTATAAGAACATTTCCCGTCTGCAAACCACAAATTCTTGACATACACACCAGGATGGTATTTATAAAAGTGCAGGGCATACTTCCGTGGGAATTTCTACCAAAGCAAAACCATTCAGTTCTGAGTTAGCCGTAAGATATGGATATTGTGAGAAAAGAATTGCATACAAGATACTTGGTAAGGAACTCTAGCTAACTTTATCTACAGCAAAAAGCTAATCTGAACAGCTGGGGATCTTGGGAAATGAATAAAACTGCTTCCGACTTCTTTTTGACTGAATCGACCTGAAGTATACAAATCAAAAAAGTTAAGAGGACCTGACGTTTCAGTTCTAGCTGGGTCTTTCTCAAAGGCCAAAAATGGCTCACACTACACTAAAAGATACCTTTTTGAGACTTTGATTACAGAACTCGTATCAGGAGCTTGCGGCACCATCACGGTGTCTTTGTCAACTGGTGTAATCAAAGTCTCAAAAAGGTATCTTTTATTTAAGTGATATAATAATGGGACAGGAAACGAACTTTCATGCTCGATCCACTATTATTATTAAATAAAAGAATGGAAGGTTTGCATTATTACCATGTGACTAATATCTCTTTGAGTTGTGCGGTTCTGAGAAGAACCAGTTGTTTTAACTCCATGTTTCAAACAGTGTGCTCTGTTCATCTCTTGCTGGTGTTGGACTCTGTTCGACTCTTGCTGGTGTAGTGGTTTAAGCAATGGTGGCGTGGATTCCTTTCTTTATTCAAGTTCACAATGCAAACCTTCAAATCTCATTGAAATGATTTGTTTTCATTTCATCTTGAAGGTTGAAAGAGGATGAAGAGATTAGCCCTGAGTCCTCCCAACGTTACAAGGTGAGGCATGACGACAGCGGAGTCCACTCACTGGAAATAAGTGACATCATCTCCGACGACGAAGGGGAATACTCGTGTGTTGCTGCTACTGAGGATTGCGTAACTTCCAGTACGACCCAACTCATCATGAAAGGTGGGAATGTTATACAAATATTGAGTGGCTCAGCGTGGAATGGGAGGAATATTATCGCAAGGTTAAATCTGGACTTTTCCATTTCATGAGGCGAAGCCGAGTAAACTGGAAAAGTCCAGATTTTACCGAGCGATAATATTCCTCTCATTTCTCAAGTTAAAGCCACTCAATATTTGTTTTATATAACTGACATATAGTTCCTTGTCATTTGATATATTTAAACTTTTATTTCAATACAAAACTGGAGGAAAATGTATTTCTTTCTTCCAAACCACCCCTTCACGAAAATGTTTGAACCCAACACTGTAGCGCTGGCTCTTTGGAACAATACGCGCTACGCGCAACGCTGAACGCGCACACCAGCATGCATTTGCACACAAATACCGCGTAATGGAACAAGAATACTCCTAACTGTTCGATAGTATTTTCTCATTCCCCATGGGCAGATAGTACTTTTTGAGCCGCGGCGTGAATGGGAGCAATAACGAATGTCACGTGATGTGAGTTCCACCAATCAAATGACAAGGATCTGTATGTCAGTTATATAATAAACACTAGATGTAACTGACCAGACTTCAGCGACATAAAAGTTCCATCGTACAACTACACCTTAGATCTGCTGAAGGAAGGGTCAAGTCATTAAAAAGCACAAAAGGGGTCAAATTAAAAGAAAAGCAAATAAGTAAAGAAGTGAGGGGTATTAAATTAGGGAGTGACACAAACCTGTTAATTGTTTGTTTTCGTTTGTATCATTTCGGTTTATTAAGCTGCTACTTTTAATCCAAGAGCCGCGTGCTTCTTCAGCTTGACAGTAGCCAATCGGGATGATGTTCAGAATGTGGAATAGCAAGAATTATCCGTCTGAAATTTTTTTATGAGATGGAATTTTTTTCAATTGGATTTTGCCCTTGGACGTATTTTTATAAACATTGTATACTCAGTGTTGTCTGAGGGCTCACAAGAAAAATTCACAAGCTAAATCGGTAGGGACTCGAACCCATGACCTCCTGTTTACTAGTGCAGATGTCTTACCACTCGACCACCGAGCTTTGAGACTGATATGGCAGCGGGTAAAGCAAACCAAACTTTTATGAGTTGTTTAATGCTCTATTCTTTTCAGGATTGCATGTTTGAAATGGTAAAAATGACAAAAAGTCAAGTGAGATGACTTTAAGACAAAATGAAAGAACAATGGATGGATTGGGGTTCCAAATTGATCAAGTATCACGATACTGAAATGTCTTTACTGTGAAAGTCGGTGAAGGCCGTAAATAAACAAGATGAAATAATGAAAAAAATAGATCCCCTGCACTGAACTTGTTCAATAGGTTAAAGGGACACCAGGTCCTGGAACGGCCCAATTGGGCTACAAAACGCGCTGTGAACGAAATGATATTAATCGGAAATAACATTTAAAAGTAGGATATAAACATCCACACAACTATCCTTTCAAAACTGGGCATTTTTTGTGTAATTCCTGTATTATGGGTGCGAGAACGAATTTCGGGGTCCACTTTTGCGACCCCACAAATTCGAGCTGTTTGGACGCTAGTTGTGATTTCATTCGTGAAGTGTTCGTCTTTTGCGGACGTTGAAGAAACCACTATTTTTGCATTGGTGATTGGTCACCGCTGTTCCCGAGTCACACAACGTGTATATCGTATACTGAGAACGACATGAAAAACGTAATTCGTGCTCCGTCGTGTCCGATGTAAACAAGCGTTTTTTTTTCGTATTTTCTCGGGAATGGTAAGACATTAGGTTGGTTTCCTTTCAACCAGATGTTTGAAATAGGCTAAGTAAACAATCCGAAACATGACATTTTCGAGGATTTCAGGACCTTGTGCCCCTTTAAATTCAGTCCTGGAGATTTGCCCCCATCACTAGTCCCTTTGCCACCAGACTCCGCCCATGCATCCCTACAAAACACTGAGTGGTCCCTAATTATAGACCTTGTATCACGAACCCCTTTCCCATCATGCTTCACTCCCACATCCCTCCAACGCACTGTATGGTCATTGACTGTACATGTACATACCCTCAAGACCTATGTTCTATAAACTTTTAGTCAGTATGAAGTCCCATGATAAATATTGACATCACGTTCATCGGTATTCGGTCAGAGTGATACCGGTGACATCAGTGATGTAATGGAATACGGGCCCAGGCAGGCCTACGGATTGATCCCTGGGTCAGTCGGTGAGGCTAGAATTGCATCTGGGGAAGATGCCACACCATAACTTGACCTATTAGCTGCGAGTGTTCTCTGGAGTTGGTTAAGACCTTGCCCGTGTGCTCTGTGAACATTTTGATGATTACAGGATGGAGCAAGGAGGCTAAGGACATTCATGAGTCAAGGCTTCATTCTTCAATTTCTTGAGCATGTTCGTAGAATTCCCTGGGGAACAACTGCAGAATTTTAGTCCAAGGATAGTCATTAATTATATTTCTGAAGATGGAGTAGAGATCAGTTCTGAAAAGGGGGGGGGGGGGACTCGCCGTTTGGACAGTATACGTCATCTGGAGAATGTACAAATAAAAGGCTGTGAAGTCATTTTTTTTCCTTTGCACAAACTATCGTATTAGTTTTAATAATAATAATAACTAGAGGTTCGCGTTTGTTGTTACAAACGCAGAGTGGTCGGGTAGACAACCATTTCATTAGATATTGTCCAATTAAGTTATGAATATGTTTATGTCAGAAAAAAAGGACCAAGAACTTCAACATTTCCAGTACCAATTATTTTTTACAAAAATAATGCGTCTTTTAAGGTGTGATAAATTTCAGTTAACAGTTTGAGTACAAGTTATTTCCGGTTTGATGGCGTCATCAGTCAAAACAGGGAAGGGAGGACACTTGTTAATCATTAAGTAAAAATAACGCATGGAAATATGGAAATTAAGTGTATGTAATAATAACAGCTAACTTCCAGTTTGATGACGTCACAGTATTTGGAAGCAAAAGGTCAATATAAAGTGTAACAGATGTCATTTTTTTTTGGGGGGGGGCAAAAAACAAAGTCATGAGACAGGGATCAAATGATGGATTTAACTTAACACATAAAATGGTCATTGTTGAATTCTCCCTACAGTAACTTCCGGTCTGATGACGTCATGATTATGAAACCTTGCAAATTCATTTGTGGTTGCTCACGGGATATATAGGGGCAATTATATCATAAAAATTTGATTGAGGGTTTTAACATTTTAAAAGATTAAACTGTTTTCCATGTACCGCTGGAGGGCGCCCTTTCGTGGATGACGTCAAAATAATGTTTTTGTGATTGGCATTCCTCACTTAACACTTCCATAATGTATTTGTCTGTACGGAAATGCTTCCGTTTTAGAGTTAGATTCAGTTTCTATTGCACTTCCGGTAACACCGGAAGTAAAGGTCAAGCAGTTTTGTGCCCGGGAATAATAAATGTTGCTCAAGGCACCGTCTACAACCTCACGAAAAAACGAACACGATACCCTATTTAGTTCAAGAGATATAGGTCAAAGTATTTTGTCAAATCGTGCAATCAAATCGCTTGTAATTTGATACCTGATGACGTCATGATGACGTAACAACAGTTATACTATCTTCGTAACATGGTACAAGTTCACAGTAGGTTTTATGATCATACCGTAAACCGTGTGGAAGAAATTGTGCTTTGTTTTGATTTCAGGCTAAAGTCTTCATTTTCAATTCACGTAACTTTGACCTTCCGGTGGACCCGGAAGTAAAGGTCAAGCGAGTTCACGTACACGACAAAAAGTGTTGATCACCTAATGGTCTATCTGATTACAAAGTTGGAACATATTTGATCATTTTGTTTAAGAGTTATAGATGAAAGTATTTGGCCCTTTTTTCCTCTAAAATCGCGTGTAATTTGACACCCGATGACGTAATCGTGACGTCAGAGTAATATGCACCACTTCGGATGAGGGTCGATATATATTGAAAGTTACAAGTTCATACCATATACCGTTTAAGAGAAAACCCGCGGAGAAGTATTGTCCGGAAAAAAAAAGAAAGAAAGAAAGAAAGATTAATCGTAACAGATCCAAAGAGTGGTCGGGTTGTGCCCGACCACTCAATAAAACAGCATTTATATAGCGCAATATGAATCAAAGATTCCTCAAAGCGCTTTACAATAGAACAAGAAACAATCACTGTTATTCCTAGTAAATGCATGGACAAAGCAAATGCATGTAACGCTTCAAATGAAAACATGAATAAAATGCAGACTTGTGTTCAATTACAGTTAAAAAGATGAGTCTTAAGTAATTTCTTAAAATCATCTACCGACTTGGCACATCTAATAGACAATGGAAGCTCATTCCAAAGTTTGGGAGCAGCTGCAGAGAATGCTCTATCGCCTGTTGATGTTGATGTTAATCAGCATTTTAATCAGCAAAATTACAGACTCAACACACCAAAGATAAAAAACCTGTACATTAATCCAAATGCTGAAAGTGCATTACAAATAAACCTGTGTAGAATTTGCCTAAGAATGTTTTGATATCATCAGTACATGAAGGTCTTGGTATCATCATATACAGTTGAGGCCTGAGAAGGCCTGGGCATCAAGGTTGTGTCTCTGGCATACATGAACTGCGTGCTCCATCTTGATTATCTGAACAGGTGATGAAGTTAGGTTGCTGCTGTGCGGTATCAACACATCAGAATAAGGGATCGGTCATAAATTTCTAAAATAATTGGTTTGATTAATGCACATGTAGCTGGCTTTGTCAATGTCTGAAATAGATTTGTGTTCAGGATACTGGGTGTTGGACTCCTCTCTTCTAGAAAGGAAATTCCACAAAACTTACAATAAGACCAATATATTTGAGATGTGTCAAACAAAACTAGGAGATCTATACATTTTCGCAGTTTTGAAGAGTTTGACTAACCCAGCAGGCATTTTTGGTCGGTTTAACGTCTATCTGACGTCAGATTCCGACCAACTCCGACGTTGTTTTTTGGTTGCCGCCGTGGTTGTAAGTGTAAGTTT